CTAAGATTCATAGTTATTTTTTGAAAGATGTTAATTTTTTTATAATATATATTTTACTAGAGACAGGTTATTGAATTGCTCAGGTTCTTATTATGAAGTTGGATTTAAAACATTGCAATGATAAATCTTCTTTAATTTCCTTTGTCCTTCCCTGTATCCCATCTCACTCCCTTAGTTTGTGTTGGATAATTGAGGGTTGTTATAAGCCATGATTCTAAATATCCCTCTAGGAGTGGAGCTGTGCTATTAGTGTCGGTAGTATCCAAAAAGACAGCCTGACTATGGTAAATATCAAGATACTGAAATGTGTTACAGATACATTGACAACCCACTGCTGATTGGAGGTAAGAAGTTTGACCTGCGACTCTATGTACTAGTGACGTCATTCCGACCCCTGAAATGTTACCTGTTCAAGCTGGGGTTCTGTCGCTTCTGCACTGTCAAGTATGATACAAGCATACAGGAACTGGACAACATGTACATCCACCTCACGAATGTGTCAATCCAGAAGCATGGGGCAAGTGTCTGAAATTATCGAATCCTCAATAGCATTTGTTAGGATCCATTTTAATGTAGCTTTCTCTTCTGTCTGTGTATCAGTCATAATAATCACTTGTAATGCAGCATATTATTATTAGATCTGCTAGACTGAGGTGGGCAGGGCATGTTGTGAGGGTGGAAGACAGTGACCCACCAAAGAAAATCATTGACAGCAATCCTGGAGAGCAAAGAAAGGGGGGCCATCCGAAGCTCAGATGGGTTGATGGAATAGAGGAAGCCTTTTAATTTATCAAGGTCATTCAAAACATTTTTTGAAAAGCATATTTCTGCCGAATTGTAGGGATCTGAGTGACAATACTCATGTCCGTTTGAGCATAGAGAAGATGAGTTGAGAGAAAGTTAGAATAGAGTAAGAGAGAAGATAGGGAGATAAAGAAGCAGGAAAAGAAGGGGTGTGCATGTGGGGGATGTGACTTTTTTATTTATCTTCCTCATAATAGATAAAAATGATGATATATGAAGAAATCGAAATTGCGGGCATAGAGTGTTGTGCATGTTTAGAAAGATCATTTTTCATGAATTTTAGTGTAAATAAGAGATTATAAATGTCTCCAGTTGTTCACTGTACCCACTATTCCTGTATAAATTGCAGGGTGAGTATAACTGTATGCATGGCGGTAAGCTGAGTGTTCAGAACCTACGGCTATATCTGGAGAGTACGCAGGGCAAGGACGTCACCGAGCGCCTATTCAGTGCTATCTCCTGGCTTATCGTACACTCGCTCAAGGCTGTCTCTCCTGTTATGGACAATGATCGGCATTGTTTTGAATGTTATGGCTATGACATCATTATAGACAACAAACTGAAGCCATGGCTAGTCGAGGTATGTATGCACTTCATTTACAGCTTCTGTGGTCGCTGGGTTAGATTTCATGGTGGCAAGTATGAAAATGACTATCTTCTGGAATGCTGCACTGTTTAGTCTAAAAGACGTTAAGTGATGTTTCAGTTGATAAAGGTAATAAGCACCTCTGAAACATTGATCAGGTCCTAAGCTGTCATAGTATATTTTAAGGTATTCTCATTTCATTTATGTGGAGGAATCAAAAAACCACAAAATACCTACCTATAGCTTGTCTTGGAGCCAAGAATCAAAGTTGAGATGCCCTGAATCTGGAATTGAGCATTAAGCAATGAAAAGTGGTTTCTTCATTAAGAAGAATACTATTTGTTGTACTGATGTGGTAGGCTGACAACCTGTCCCTGTAAAAGAAACAATGTTAGGAAACCGGAAGGGGGGGGGGGCAGAAGTAAAGGCCCAATCTGGGTTGTAGTGCACTTGATGATGTGATAAAAACCAGTTTCATATATTTTCTGTATTCCTCGTGGACTGCAAGATGATATAAATTTCTACTGTACTGGCTCTCTGACTGTTGTCAGCCATGTGTGTTTTACAGGTTAATGCTTCTCCTTCCTTGACATCTACCACTGTAAATGACCGTATTCTGAAGTACAAGCTGATTGACAACATCTTGTCAGTAGTACTGGCACCTGATGGCATCCCAGAGTGAGTATGTGACAGCATTCAAATTTGCAAAATCTGATCAAGTCTGAAACTAAATATCTAAGTACTTCATTATCATATTAAGTGCAGTCAAAATTGTGTTATGGACTAAACTTAGAGACAAATTATATTGATTGCTGCCATATAAAGGGGGGGAGAGATGGTGCTGTACCTCCATGCCCCCTGCACCACATCATAATATGGTGCTCAACCACAGATTGATTTAGATTTACCATGTGTTTAAGGTAGATTGAGGTTATGGCTGAGATTTGAAGTCCTCACAGCAGCGAAGATGTCAGTGTTGTTCTGTATTTTAATGCCATGTGGCATGGGATCAGTGCTGAGGATTGACACAGTATGTTCCTTTGAAACAGTAGTTTCTACCTTCAAGTCCATATGACATTAAAACCCAGAAGACTAACAGACAAAGGCAATGGCTCTTTTCAATTTAGAAAGAAAGGGTTTAAATCTGATAAAGGGAAGTTTGGAGGAGTGTATTGGGTCATGTATGCAGGTGAGACTTCAAATTTGCCTAGTTTTCTAGTTGTAAACTTAGTCATACTTTATATTTGCTTTCTGTTGGCAGTGTACGCTGGAATAAGGTTCCGTCGCCTGAGGCTCTTGGAAACTTTGAACTTCTGCTAGATGAAGAACTTGCATTCCAGGAGGAGCACCCGGCGAATCAAAGTCGGAGTCGATCTGATTTGCGCGGACCATTGTTTCGCTGGAAGTAGGCTGTATGAGGCAGGTCAGCAGCATTAGATGGTTTATCTAATGGTGAAGTGTTTTCTTTGAGGTATGTAGTGAATGTTTAAATATCTGGATCATTTTGGCTTAAAAGGGTTAACACCTGGTTTTACATTGTACTGTCTCTAGCATAAATATGCTGTTACATTGTGCTTAATAAGAATGGGCAAGAATTTTAACTAATTGTAAATTATGTTGGCCACTTGTGTATGAACCCATTGGCTTACATAGACAAGGGGAAAAAGAAAATGCTTATACTGGCTTTGATTCCTTGATTGATACAAGGAAGTGATAACAGATGGCATGCTGAGCTTTATTCTGTAGAAACAGGTTTTACTGAGTGAGAATGCCAACAGATTTGTTTCTGCTTTAGCCTTCTACAGAATAATAGTAATGCTGAAAGTTGTGCAAACAGTGATTCTGGTAAATAATACAGAAAATGGACAACAGATTTATGTAATAAATATTACTATAAGTAAATATTATACTGGTTGTTAGAGCCATTCATTTATGTATTAATGCCCACAATCAATGGAGAGTGCATGAGATGAGTCCATCTTTATCCCTGATCCACACCAGGAGCCTGTCCCATCTTTCCGTTTGCGATGGAAATGAGTGTAATATCATTTAAAAGAACACATTTTATTAACAAAAGACTAAAGTAACACCTTTTTACATTTTAGTTGCAAAACTTAAAATATTCTGCTTTCGAGTCCTTCCACATCCTTCTTGACATTTATTTCTGGTTTGATTTGGATGCTGTTTATCCTGAGCATGGTGTGTGGGGTCCGCTGAACTGTAACAAAAACACCCACTTCATTACTCTTCCAGATTTGAGCAAAAAACTAATGCTTTCCCAACTTCATACCTTGTAAATTCTTATATGCCATATAAAAATCAAGAAATAAAATGACACCACCATATTCTGTGTACGTGAGAAAAAGGAGAATGTTCTTCATTTAGAGATTCTTATCTGGAACCCTGTTACCAAGATGTCTGTTCAACTGCCTACACTATTTCACCGCTGACATCATTGTTATATCAACTAACAGACTTGCGAAAAGCTGTGGCATGTCATTGGAAGGCCATGCATCTTGATACCTTTTGACATTGTCATGAACAATATCAAAGCAGCCATACAAATTTGTGAGGCCAGAATAACATTCAATTAATCCAATGAAGGAGGAAGGTTCTTGTACTTTTGTATGGTGATAATTATTTAGTACAGTACACAACTTTCATTATATTAATTTTTCAGGAAAATGAAAAATAGCTACACAGCAATTAACTGTTTGATACGATCAATTATAGAAGCGTGACGTGTAAAATCCTGAATGGTGTCATGTTATCAACATGTAACTTAAAATATTATGAATGATATTAAAGGCTGTAAGGTCTAATCCTTCATAGTCCTAGAGAGCACCATGGAAATGAGTGAAGAAGTGGTTATGGCCAAATTTATGATATATTGGAATTTGCCTCGAGGAACTGAGGAAAACCACATAAACCCTTGATCAGCACTGCATGTCTCCAGCTCGTGCCAAATACAAAGCAGGAGTGCTAATCACCTGGAGATGACAATGGGACATCTATGAGAAGCATCTTGCAACTATGTAACATGAAAACATAAGCCTTCTGAACTCCTAGGAAATGGCTTGTCTTGTGCTTACAGTTTATCCTCTGAAACTGCTTCCTTCTCTTCTTCTTGAACACTGTCTTGATATGAGACAGTGCCTTTTCAATGACTGTAGCATGCACCAATACAAGTTCAGAAGAGAGAACTGGGCGTCCAATCAGGGTAAAATCTGTACCCCCCGCCAGTAATACCTATAAGAAGATGGGAAAACACATACAAATTATCTCAGTGGATTGTAAGTTACATGGTCATCAAACTAAGTAACTAGATGGCTTACGGAACCTGAAGGTTCATCACCAAATTAACCAAGGCCCTCCACTGGAAGGTTATTTATTATCAAACAAAGTAACTATGATTACATATACAGTGAACATGTGAGGGTGGTATTGTGGAGACAGGCTTGTAGCACAGATAGAAAATGCATATATGCAGAACTGTAGAGGGCGAAGAGAGCAGGGTGCAAGGACATGGACTGGATTCATTTGGCTCAGAACAAAGTGCAGTGGCACACTAATTTGTGAGCACAGTAATGAATGTTCTGTGGCCAGGCAATTTCTTGATCAGCTGAAGAACTAACAGCTTCCCAAAAAGGACTATGTTACACAGAGTCTGCTACAATTAATAAGAAGCAGGTAGTCATGGACTATTTCATGGTAATATCCAAGGACTCTCCTTTAATGATTATCACTTCAGATTATCTACTTGGAGGGTTCAGTGGTAATGCGTTTGACTTATTCACATGCGCTTGCATGCCAGCGACCACTACTTTGTACCTCTGTACAAACATTTCCACCCCCCACCCCCTTGCAGTCTTGGATACAGATTTCAAATACTTTAGTCTCTCATTCCTTAATCACTTTCATTTGGTACATCCAATTTCTGCCAATGGGAACTTCACAAAAAAATCATAAACTTTGGATTTAAATTATTTGATATGTGGTAACTGCAGTCATGGTTAGCAAGGTTATCAAATAACCAATATTGTTTTCCACATGAAAGAGGTGTATAAATGACTGTCCTACCTTTTCCAGCTTGAGTTCATCCCCAATTTGTGGGGCCCAGTGTCCCTCTATGATGATTAAGTCCTCAGTGGTGACTTTAAACTGCTTGCCACAGATATGCACAACTGCAAAGAGGCGACCCTCACTCTGCTGCTGCAACTGCTTGTTGACTTTGGAAATTATCTCTGTCAACAACAAAACTTACGATTAATATTAAATTAGATGGTTCAGTAAGACATTCTGCTCAAGTTCTACTTTTTACTCCTTAACACCTCCTCCCCCCCCCCCCCCCACCCCC